GTACGACAGCAGAGCGAATGAGAGAGAAAGAAGGGCGAGGTTGCAGATATGAACGCTCAGCTAACTTTTAGCGCGTCCTGTATTCTCCACTTCTCCTTAACCAGAGCAGTTTTATAAATAATGTTTTGTTACTGCATAATCCTACACAGCAGAGGAGTGCTTTCGTGTTTCAAAAATGTGAAACGTGACATTTTCAGTTTCCTCCCAGCAATTATTAGAATGCAAATAATCACACTCAGACTTTGTTTACATTTTGAATCTCTGTGTTTTGAATCGCTCAGTTAAAATGATTTACATTCAAACTAATGAGAATTTAAACCATTTATCTTTATCTGTTGAAGAAAACCACGTCCCAGTCAAAACCTTTAGGGGTTCGAAAACATCTACATGAATAATTAATGTCCATTCTGTAGATCTTCTGGAAGTGAGACAATATTCTGCTGCTGATGAGGGTTTCAGATTCAGGCAGGCATCTAACAAACATTACATTTTGTGCTGGTTTCAGCTGGCTGTCACTGAGATAAGTTCTGCCCAACAGGGCATTAACGTGATCCCAGAAGGAGCTGTGTGTTGTATCGCGGTAAACACTGTTTTTCGGTCTTTTCGTGCGTCCTGATCTGTCCTGTTTGCTCTGCAGCCCCCTCGGAAGTGTTATCCATCCGCCAGGAGAACGCCAGTCAGAACAGCGTGACTCTGATGTGGCATGAACCCGACCAGCCCAATGGAGTCATCCTAGAGTACGACCTCAAATACTATGAGAAGGTATTGAGCTAAAAGTTGAGGGTTGGTCGCACACTGCAACAACAAAAAAAATACTGATTTGAAAAACTGTTTGTATTCCTTTTTGTCATGTTATAAACTCCACTTATGATTGAAAGACCAACTCAAAGTGCTGCGTAATTATTTGGAGGAAATTGTAGTTTTTAACAAAGAATTCCTGAGTTTGACAGAAGCCATTTAAAGGACAGAGCAAACATTTGGTAATGGTTGCCCTGGTCAGATCACGTGACCAAACTGTAACCCGGAAACAACACGAGAAACGTCATGTGTATCTCTGAACATCAGCCAGAACACAGCTGATCCTCTTGGAGAAACATGGTGGTGGCTGCATCATCCTGTGAGATTCTGGAAAGTGGGATGGAGCTCAACACACAGGAATCCTGGGAGATAAACCTTTAGTACAGCCGGTAGAGACAGAGTGGTGACTGACAGCACTAAGACCTTCCTCCTTGCCCTCATTGGTTGTTTCTAGCCCAGCTCAATTTTTTAATAGATTATGTCTCACACCATACTTTCATGACATATTGACAGTTTCAATAAATATGTAAAAAAAAAAATTCATAAAAGCTACATACTGCAGCTTGAAACCTGTAAGCTCATTGTGCTGGAAGGCCCAGGGACAGATCTGGGTGGAGATCTAAGCCGTGGCAGTCGGATAGGGAGCCACGGCGGATGATCTCGTCCAGGAGAAGGATCCTGGTGGCAGATCGGCTAATTGAAAGGAAATGGGGGTCGAAAGGCAGAGGAACAGGGAGGACGAGGCAGTGTGGATTTCAACTTAGCAGAAGTGACAGTGACAGCGAGCGGCTGTTGAGCACATAAACCTCACAATCAGCTAATTGCTGCGAGTGTGTGTGTGCGTGTGTGTGTCCGGGTGTTTGTGCGTTCGGCGATAGGAATCATCTAATTGCAGAAGGAGCGGCCTGGGAGCCTGCTGTCTCATAGCCAAACAAGCAGGTTGGTGTGGGGAGGGCTGAAGGATTAGCTTGTCTCTTGCTCTGCGTCTTAATCTTCACCCAGAGGCTGACACTTTTGTGTGTGTGTGTTCGTGTGTGTGTGTGTGAGGATTTCAAGTGGACCAGTCAGCAGTGTGTATTCTCAAGGTTTCTCTAGAACTTCACAGAACAAATCAGAGTCATGCGGTGGTCCGTTGCTGCTCCTCATTAGCTGGGCACGATGAAGACAAAATCCCTGCTAAAGAAGCATGAGTCATTCATTTTGGAGCTCACTAGCACCTCTTGTAACTGTTTAACCCGCTCTGCCTCTACAAAGTGAGGATAGCAGTGACAGGAATAATTAACTGGATTTTTAATCCAGATTGTATTAAGAGTCTTCTCTATAGAAGTGCACTGAATAGACGTTAATCTCTGGTGATTTTGGGGTCTTAAGGATTCGTTTTAATATACTTTAGATTACTTTTCCAGGTTGTAATCATTATGTAATATATTACATAAGTGATTAAGAAAATCAATTTTGTACACAAGAGTTTATTGTGGATTCTTTTCTAATTGTTTTTTTTTCTAATGGAGTGTCATTATACTTTTTGTTTTTGGTTTTGGTGAACGTTTTGCTTCCTTTAACAATAATCAACGACCAGAGAGTAAAATAAGAGTACAAGAGTGAACCTTCTGAGAAAAGAAGGACATTGTATTCGTGGTTAGAATATCTAAAAGGAAACCTTCTGTGTTTGTCTGACAGGACAATGAAGAGCAGAGTTACTCCACCCTAAAAACTAGAAACACCAGTGCTCTGGTGTCAGGACTGAAGCCAGGGACAAAGTACATCTTCCAGGTTCGGGCCAGAACGTCGGCAGGCTGTGGACGCTTCAGCCAGAACGTCGAGATCCAGACTGGAAAAGCAGGTGACCGGAACTCAGCTGCTGGACGCAGCCTCTCGACTGCCCTGCCACTTGGGAGCCATTCTCGATTTTCTTTAAAGTGCAGGGTCCCTATGCAGTCTGAAAAAACACATTTTGGAGTTTGATGTAGACAGTTTTCAGGTCATGATGAGTATGGGGGGAAGACAGTGTAGTAAGATATATATTTCTACCGCTACCTGAAATGTATTGTTATCTTTTGGAGCTATACTCTGAAAATGAGCTGAAATTGAATGAAATCTCTGGACAGATGTGGAATATTAAATTATGAACAAGATGTTTGGGTTTCGGTGACTGTGTCAGTCAGGGCCGGCCCAAGGTAAAAGCGATTTAACGACTACTTAGAGCCCCCACACCACCAGGGAGCCCCTAACAGCACCAAGTTAGCATGATAAAATATATGTAATATAAAATTGCTTATCAATTGGGCATGATAATTTCTTTTAATTTTAATTGTTTTTTCTTCTTTCTTGCGTTTTTGTGCATGTTTAAAATAAATAAATAAATAAATAAATAAATGTTTATATATATATATTTTTTTATTAACACTGAATAGTAGAAATTAAATGCTACTGCACATGGAAAAGCAATTTCTGTATTTTTTTATAGTTGTTACACAAATAATAGTTAATCTCTTAAATTTTTTTTTTTAGTCTGCCGCTCCTGTAAGGTAAAAAATCAACAGCCATAATAACACTGGTATGATTTATGCTAATTGCAAATGATGCTAATAATGGGAGATAATGTACAGATAGAGTAGCTTAGGAATGATAAAGCATCTGGTGTTGACATGTTGGTGGTGGGGGCCCCTGCTTAGGGCCTTATAAAGGCTTGGGCAGGCCCTGCTGTGTAAACAACTGTGGTTTCTCCTCAATACTGAGTAGTTTTCTTTTTCTTTATAGTTATTGCTTTTAATGGGGCACTCCATCTGAGACAGAACAACAGAATTCTACTACAAAGTGTTACTATTTATTTTTATTTTATTAAAATGATCAATTTCCATTATATGGGATGTGGCAGATTGCCAATCTGTAAAACTCCAACTGCTGCATGATGGGACTCCCAGCTTATCTTCCTTTAAAACATACTGATTCATTCTCATTTTCTGGCTCTGAAGCCAACAGGCCATCAGAGATCCGAGGTGACAACATGCTGTCCAATCAATAAGCACTACAGATCATTAATAAAATGCTAAGTAGAGCTATTACTGCCCGGACTAACACTTTTAGTTAGTTCAGAGAGCAGAAACAGAACTGTTGTTCTGTGTGGTCCCTTCTGAGCTAGTAAACATCAATCTGTGGTCTATCAAAGGGATAGACCACAACAGCTGTTTTAAAGATAAAGAACGTTAATGAACCGACATCCTCATGAAGACCAGGGGGCAGACCAGACATTTAAAGCAGAGTTAAGTTATAAAGCAGTATCCCAAACTTGAACATCACTCTGTTCAATCAGGCATCCAAAAACAGAACGAATAAAGCACAACTGCAAAACTACACCGTACAGTACGTAACCCTGGAAACACCAACTAAAGGAAGGTGGATGAAGCCAAGAAAAGCTGTCAGAAAACCTGATCTTCCAGCAGGACATCAGCAGTAACCATACAGCACCACAATGGGTCGGATTAGATATAGGAATGATTATGCATTAGAATAACCAAGATGTATTTGAGAATCGATGACAAGCCAGATCCACCTGGATTTGAAGAATGTTCATTTTTTTCTGCTTCTGTTTATATTTTGCCATAAACAGACTGTAATCTTCTTGATTCCATCTGCTTGTTTGGTTTGTGTTTTCTTCTCTTTAACCGTGTTGCAGTTTATGAGTTCTAAGTACAGACTTAATTACCAGGCAGTCAGAATGCTGCTGACAAACATTCAAAGTCAAACACAAGGTAATTAGAAAGTTCTGAGACTCTTATTAAACTCAAACACATACCTGTCTCCACCAGCGTCAACGTAAACAGTAACCTGTCGACCGTTGCAGCCTCTCCTCAGCTAAACGCCGGCGGTCTGTGTCTCTGCAGCTCCTCTGCGTTACAACACTATGACCATCATCTGGATCTCCTTGGCCCTGGTGTCCGGCCTGGTCGCCTTCCTGGCCATCATCATCTGCAGGAAACGGCAAGGCTACACTTTACCACACTACCCGTCGCTGCTGTGTGTGGAACACTTTCTTATGCTACTGTCTCTCTTCGTGTGTTTGATCGAATGTTCAAAACCAGGCGTCATTTATAAATGACGCCTGGTTTTGCCACAGGAATCATTGACTGCAAGTAAAATGAGAGATGCTGTAAAACTGAAAGGGAAATTGAAATGTCGATCTTTAAAGATCTTGTGTTATTTAAACACTGAGGTTCTTAATATAGTTTGAGTGTGGCTACATTCACACAGCAGGTCTTCCTGCTCTTTTCCATTTTTTAAATTAAATCAGATTAAATCCTTGATCCTTATATTGATCAATTTTAAAGCCATTGATCAGAGGGAGATGACTGCGTCTCCACAAGATCATAAGACGAAGGAAGCTAATGAAAAGAAATCACAGCTATTGGCAGCAGATTTTAGTGGAGCATTGACTGCAGCTTCTTTGAAAACAATCGGATACACATCTGATTTAGGTACCACTATAGAAGTGGTACAAGGCAGATTTTTTGGGGGGGTGACCAAATTGGAATTGGGTCGTTCAGACTGCCAATGTCAGATATGGATCGCATTTGCCTGCTGTGTGAACGTAGCTTTTGTCTTGTGGACCATCGTTCCGTTGCTATCATGATGTAACTTAATCTGATGTAAGTTTCTACTATAAAAAGATAAGGTGTGTCCTTTCAGCTTGTGTCTAAGTTCAAAAAGTAGGAAAGTAGCTTTTGAGTTTTCCCTTTTGTGTTTATTGGCTTCCTTAACTAACAACTCCAACTTAGGCATCACTGTTGCCAACTTAGCAACTTTGTCACTATGTTTTGTTTTCTCCCTAGTAACTCTGTAAAAAAAAAAAAAAAGAAAAAAAAAATCACACAACTAGGAAAAAAATGTGTGACTTTTATTTACATATGACATTGGACTTCTGCATTGGAAATTCATATGTAAAAAAATCATTTAAGCTATTAATTAATCTTTGTTTTCTCAACAAATGAAGACTGTGAAAAAGGAAACAAGGTGTTGAGGTGACATTGAGTCTGGACCAAGTCAGACTCAATGAAACTTAAAGAGTAAAAATAATTAATTATGAAAATTAAAATAAAAAAAAAACATTGGAACTTCATTAAACTGTGTCTATAGATTCTAAATCCAGCCAATGCAGATTTGGAATTGCGACAAAAATAATGCAGAAAATTGACAGAGATGAAAAAAGAAAAGCTAACAGAGTGACAAACTGCCTGAATGCAGTGTGACAGTACTGCCATTATTAGACAGTGACTCTAAGGTGAGCATCTGCTTTGGGGTTTCAAGTGAACTAAAGCACCATGTCAAACATTTTAATCAGTTTGTGATATTAATCAGATGTGCTGCATCTGATTGTCTCTAGTTCAAAATTAAAAATGCTTAGACTGATAAAATCCAAACTGGACTAAAGATTCTCTGATGCACAGTTTGTGATTTCAGATTGAGCTTCATGAAGTCTTCTGCCTGTAGAAACCTTGTGAAAGGGGCAAAATAAATTTACAAGCATAAAAACCCACGTATAGAAACATCTGGACTTTAGTATGTTGTATATGTTCTTTGCACACTTTGTGATGTCAAATTTTGTGAAAAATCAAAAGGATTATTCTTAGTTTTTCCCCAAAAATGTTCCTGCACCGTGAATCCAGTATTGGGAGTAATCTTACCTGATGATCTAGATGTGCTGTTACACCCCTGATAATCAACGACAAACACTTTTGCTACCGCTTTCATGGAGCTAGACTTAATAAGTTGTAAAGGATGAAAGAGGATTGAAACCGATCCATTTATTTCTTCTCACATTACTTTTTAGCTAATTTCCCAACTCATTGTGAATTTAATTGCTACCTTCCTGTGTTTCCACGCCCGCCATCAGCCTCCTCCTCCTTCTCCTTTTTACTCTAATGTCTCCCTTACAACTTAGTAGATTTGTAGCAAATAATTACATTTAATTACCTGAATTGGTTCACAGTTTCATGCGTATTATGTTTATTAAATTAACTTTGTTAGATGAAAGAAATCTTCTATAACTCAGAGGACATAAGGATGTTATTCAAACCCAGGCACGGTTTTTAGAATGGTCCAGTTTACCAGACTCACCATATTCTGCCAATCAAAGGGATCGATGAATAACTGCATCACTTATGCTGGCGTGAAGGAAAATGTACTACTGGTCCATGAATTTCCGAAAAGCTCCCTCAGGCTGCCAGCAGCAGGCTGCAAGCTCTCAGTTCATAACTGCAAATAAATTAAAGCAAGTTATCATCAAGGAGGTTTTATGTTCTGACAGTTTTACACCATTTTTCCTAAGGTTCCTTGCATATTCAAAATGTTCGTTAATCTTCAAAAAGACAGAAACGACAGGACCAGAACAGGACCTGAAGCTCCCCGCATCTAAGTGCTGATCATGTAAATGAGGACATGCGTAGAAACAACACATCTGTTGGCAACCTCTCAATGTGTTTGAGTGAACAAGTTCTCCCATCTTTTTTTCTATTCTTTTTAGTGAATAATTCATACAAGCTTTTTTTCTTCAGAGGTGCAGTATCCCAGCCAGCATGCCTAGGTGGGACCCATGTGGGGACAAGGAGGGCAGACTATATGGGTCCCATATGGGT